TTCATCTTCTTTGGCACTACTGTGAATGGAATAGAGTTCTTGACTATTTTTTCAGCTTGACTATTGTTGGTATATATAAAGGCTACCAATTTATGAGTGTTGATTTTGTAACCTGAGACACTGCTGTATTCCTTGATCACTTCTAAGAGTTTTGTAGTAGAATCCCTGGTGTTTTCCAAGTATACAATCATATGATCTGTGAAGAGTGAAAGTTTAATCTCTTTTGATCCTATATGGATATCTTTTCTTCCCTAATTGCGATGGCTAAAACTTCTATTACAAGGTTGAAGAGCAATAGAGACAACAGGCAACCTTTCTTGGTTCCTGATCTGAGTGGAAATGATTTCAATTTAACTCCATTCAATATGATATTGGCTGTGGGTTTGCTGTAGATGGTCTCTATCAGTTTAAGAAATGTCCCTTCTATACCAATTTTCTTAAGTGTTCTGATCATGAACACACTGGATATATAAAAGTCCCTTCTATACCAATTTTTTAAGTGTTCTGACTATGAAGGGATGCTGCATATTATCAAAAGCTTTTTCTGCATCAATTGAGAGAATCATATGGTCTTTGTTCTTTAATTTGTTTATGTGATGCATTACATTTATAGATTTACGTATGTTGAACCAGCCTTGAGATCCTGGGATAAAACCCACTTGGTCATGGTGTATAATTTGCTTGATGTGTTGCTGGATTCTGTTTTTTAGGATCTTGATGAATATTTTTGCACTAATATTCATTAGTGATATTGGTCTATAATTTTCTTTTCTTGTTGGGTCTTTTCCTAGTTTGGGGATCAAGGTGATGTTTGCTTCATAGAATGTGTTGGGTAGTATTCCTTCTTTTTCTATATTTTGGAAAAGGTTAAGTAATATAGGTACTAGTTCCTCTTTAAAGGTTTGGTAGAATTCTGATGTGAAGCTGTCTGGTCCCGGGCTTTTCTTTTTAGAGAAATTTTATATAGTTGATGCCATTTCACAACTTGATATAGGCCTGTTCAACATTTCCACTTCATCCTGACTAAGTCTTGGAAGGTGGTGTGCTTCCAAGTATTGGTCGATTTCCTTCAGATTTTCATATTTCTGAGAATAAAGTTTCTTGTAAAATTAAGGATTTTTCTGAGGGGTCTGTTGTTATTTCATCTTTACCATTTCTGATTGATGAAATTAGAGATTTTACTCTTTTTCTTGGTTAGGTTGGCCAAAGGTTTATCTATTTTATTGACTTTTTCAAAAAAACAACATTTTGATTTATTGATCTGTTGTATAATCCTTTTGTTTTCAATTTCATTTAATTCAGAAGCTCTAATTTTGGTTATTTCTTTTCTTCTGCTGGGTTTGGGATTGGAATGTTCTTTCTTTTCCAGTTGCTTGAGATGTCCCATTAAGTTGTTAACTTCCTCTCTTTCCGTTCTCTTGAGGAAGACTTGCAGTGCTATAAATTTCCCTCTTAGGACTGCCTTTGCGGTATCCCAGAGGTTCTGGTAACTTGTGTCTTTATTATCATTTTGTTCCAAAAATTTGGTAATTTCCTTCTTGATCTCATCTCTGACCCACCTATCATTCAGTATAAGGTTATTTAGCTTCCATGTTTTTGTATGAGTCTGCAGTTTCCTGTTGTTACTGAGTTCAACTTTTATTCCGTGATGGTCTGAGAAGATGCATGGAATTATTTCTATTCTTTTAAATTTGCTGAGGTTAGACTTGTGACCTAAGATGTAGTTGATTTTGGATTGTGTTCCATGGGCTGATGAGAAAAGTATGTATTCAGTTTTGTTAGGATGAAATGTTCTGTAGATGTCTGTTAATTTCAAATGCTGGATAGTTAAGTTTAAATCTAAAATTTCTTTGCTAAGCTTCTTATTGGAGGATCTATCCAACACTGCCAAAGGAGTATTAAAATCTCCAACTATGATGGAGCTGGGAGAAATCAAATTCCTCATGCCTATTAGAGTATCTCTTATAAATTGAGGTGAATTCTGGTTGGGTGCATAAATATTGATAGTTGAAATCTTATCATATTGAGTATTACCCTTAACAAATATAAAATGACCATCGTTATCCTTGCTTACTTTTGGTTTACCAAAGTAAGGTAAAGCTTGCTTACCTTGCTTACCTTGGTTTAAAGCCTATTGTATCTGCAAATAAAATTGCAACACCTGCTTTTTTCTGCTTTCCATTGCCTAGAATATAGATGACCATCCCTTCACCCTGAGTCTATATTTATCTTTTGAGGTAAGATGAGATTCTTGTATGCAACAGATATCTGGCCTGAGTTTTTGTATCCAGTCAGCCAACCTGTGCCTCTTTAGATGACAATTTAAGCAATTCACATTGATTGAGAATATTGATAAGCCATGTAAAACTTTGGGTATCAAGTTTTTTGAAAATCCAGTGGACATTTTTAATCCTTTCACCACTGTGGAAGTTGGAATTTGATCAAAAGTTTCTGAATGAGTTTACTTTTGTGGTGGAGGATTGCACTGATCATTATGGAGGATAGGTCTGAGAATATCCTAGAGAGCTGGTTTAGTTATGGCAAATTTCTTCAACATGTGAGTGTCATTAAAGTATTTAATTTCTCCATCATAAATGAAACTCAGTTTAGCTGGATACAGGATCCTAGTTTGACAGTTATTTTGTTTTAGGAGATTAAAAATTGATGACCACCCTCTTCTAGCCTGAAAGGTTTCAGCAGAGAGATCTAGCTGAAAATGTTAACAAATGGAAAAACATACCATGCTCATGGCTGGAAGCAATTAACATTGTTAAAATGTCCATACTACCCAAAGCAATATACGATTTTAATGCAATCCCTATTAAAGCTCCACTGTCATACTTTAAAGATATGGAAAAAATAGTACTTCATGTAATACTTCATTTAACCATAAAAAAACTCAAAAAGCCAAGACATTACTCAGAGATAAAAACAAAGCAGGAGGAATCACGCTACTAGACCTCAGACTATACTATAAATCAATAGTGATCAAAACAGCACGGTACTGGCACAAAAACAGAGAGGTAGATGTATGGAACAGAATAGAGAACCCAACTACTTACCATTATATAATCTTTGACAAGCCAGTTAAAAACATCGAGTGGGGAAAATATTCACTATTTAACAAATGGTGCTGGGTGAACTGGCCAGCGACCTGCAGAAGACTGAAACTGGATCCACACCTTTCACCACTGACTAAGATAGACTCTCACTGGATTAAAGATTTAAACTTAAGATATGAAACTATAAAAATACTTCTAAATACCATAAAATACTATACTATAAAATACTATACTTCTAAATACTATAAAATATTATAAATACTACTTCTAGAATTATAAAATACTTCTATAATAAATACTATACTACACTTCTAACTACTATAAAATACTATAAATACTACTTCTAAAACTATAAAATACTTCTAAAAATAGAAGAAAGTGTAGGGAAAACACTTGAAGAAATTGGCCTGGGCAAAAATTTTATGATGAGGACCCCCCGGGCAATTGCAGCAACATCAAAAATACACTTCTGGAACCTAATCAAACTTAAAAGCTTCTGCACAGCCAAGAACACAGTAAGTAAAGCAAGCACACAGCCCTCTGAATGGGAGAAGATATTTGCAGGTTATGTCTCTGACAAAGGTTTAATAACCAGAATCCACAGAGAACTCAAACGTATTAGCAAGAAAAGAACAAGTGATCCCATCTCAAGGTGGGCAAGGGACTTGAAGAGAAACAGTTTGATGAAAATAATTCAAATTGTATATAAAAACAGCACACTGTACCCCATGACTACATTAATGTACACAGCTATGAGTTAATAAAAAAAAAAAAAGAAGACTTGATGCTGCCGTGCTCGTTGGCTCACACCTGTAATCCTAGCACTCTGGGAGGCCGAGGCAGGTGGATTGCCTGAGCAATCTGCCTGAGAAGAGAGAGACCAGCCTGAGCCAGAACAAGACCTCATCTCTCTCAGGAGGCTGAGGGAAGAGAATTGCTCGAGCCAAGAATTGGAGGTTTCTATGAGCTGTGACACCATGGCACTCTTCCAAGGGCAACAAAGTAAGGCTCCGTATCAGGAAAAAAAAAAAAAAAAAAAAAAAAAAAAGAGAGAGAGACTTTTGATGCTATTAGGAATGGAACGGATCTATTTTGTACATAAGTAGGACATGAATTTGGTGGGAGCAGGGGCAGAATATGATGGTTTGAATGTTTGTGTTGTCTCAAAATTCATCTGATAAAAGTCTAACTCCTGAGGTGATAGCACTAGGAGGTGGGGCCTTTTATAATGCTCTCATAAAGGGAATTATATTCCTGAGAGCTAGCTTGTCCCTGCCACCATAGGACACATAGTGACCAGATGTCCTCTGTAAACTACCGGACACGTAGACTTTCTAGAATGATGAGAAAAAAAATTTCAGTTATTTAAGCCACTCCATTTATGGTACTTTTTATACAGCCTGGACAAATGAAGGCCGTCATTAACTAAAGTCAGCTCCTCAGGCAAGAGACAAGCTCTATGAGTCTCAGTGTCCTCAGCTTTAGCTTGTAAACGTCCTTTATAAAGGTTCCTGTTGTCAGGAGTAAGTGATGGAAATTGTCCTCTGAAATTTTAGAAATAACACAAAACTTTCATTGTGCACATAAGAGAAATGAAGCTTCCTGTCTATTTTATAGGCATTAATCTCATTTAAGTCAGAGAGAGTCATCTCTTGGGTTTTTGAGATGCACTCTACTATAACATGATTTACTTGTCATAGTTTCTGTAAGGTTTAAAGTACCTTTTAGCAAAGTACAGAAAATGTCTTTATATATTTATGTAGATGCTCCAGACCAAACAAGGGTACAAATATTTATTACATGTATTTTTTCATCTAATATATGATATAATATCAGGCGACAGTTAAAAGAAATGATAAAATATGGCTCTACTTGGCTGTTGTTAGATCATTTGATCCTTATTGGCTAATTGTTCTATTCACATGGGTTCTTTTGTAGTGTTCTGTGACCTGTGGCCCTGGAGTTCAGCAAAGGGATGTGTACTGCAGACTGAGAGGTGTTGGTCGAGTCACTGACAAAATGTGTGATCCGTCCACCCGGCCTTATTTTCAGAGGCAATGTTGGCATCAGGACTGCGTGCGGTACCAGTGGATGGCAGGAGAGTGGCTGGATGTGAGTATTGACCAGCAAACTTTCAAAGTCACTGCACATAAAAACATTTTCTTCATTCTGTGGTTGCATTTCTAGTGTTCAACATCATGTAAGAAAAAAGAGACACATCGGCCAGTGAAATGCGTCGATGCACACAACACCCAAGTGAATGAAAGTTTCTGTGATCCTACAACCAGACCTCTCTCAATCAAAAAGTGCAAGAACCCTCCCTGCAAGTATATTGTGGTAACGGGAGACTCATCACAGGTAAGGCAAAGAAAGGAATTTGAGAATTTTTTTTCTGGGAAAGAATAAAAAAAAAAAAACAGTTGATGTAAAAATTGATGCAGCTGAAAGTATATCTAAATTTTGACTATAAGGGCAGATGAGAATTACGCAAATCAGTCTAAGGGATGAAACAGCTAACCGTTGAATGGTGCAAATAGAGCAACAGTAAAATATAGATCAAACTCTAGTCTGTAATGTCAATTGGTTCCAATCACGGAGCCAACAATGAGTAATAGGTTGGCAGAGTGAGTCTGTGTCATTCCCCACTTTTTATAAGCAGCTGTTTTGAGGTATAATTGACAAACCATAAACTTAACATATCCATAGTGTGCAGCCTAGTAAGTTTTAACATACACACCCATACAACCAGTACCATATTCAAAAGAAAGAACATCTCTATCACTCTCACAAGTGTCCTCGCGCTACGTTAGAGCCCCTTCCACTTCCCGCTCCCTCTCCACCCCACTGGTTATGTCCTCTGTTTTCTATGTTAGTGATCTATCTTGTATTGGTGTGCAATTTCCAGAGTCTTATATAAGTGGAATCATACAGTATGTACTATTCTTTGTCTGTTTGATGAAACTTAAATATTTTGAGATCGAGGCAAGTGTTAGTATGTATCAATAGTTTTTTCCTTTGAGTAACATTCTACATTACGTGTCTTTCAAGTTCACTATTTTTTTCTCTGATGTCTGATCCCTGTCTAGCCTATTTTTTTAATCTCAGACATTATTCATTGTTTAGATGTTTAATTTCAGCATTTTTTCTATCTTCCATATCTCCACTTACATTTTAAACCTATGTAATATAGTTATTAATAACTTTATTCAGAGGTTTGTGCAACCATCATCATGATATAATTATAGAACATTTTGTTACTCCCAGAAGAAACTCTGTGCTTGTTAGGAGTCATTCCTTATCATCACGTTTCCCCCTTCCAGCCCCAGACACCATTAATCTGTTTTCTGTGTCTATGAATTTACTGGTCGGGACGTTTTATATGAATTGAATCATACAACATGTGGTCTGAACATGGTATTTTTAAAGGGTATACATGTAGTATTATACATCAATACTTTATTTCTTTTTATGGCTAATATACCATTGTCTAGATACTACATTTTGTTTATTCATTTATATGTTTGTGAACATTTGAGTTGATTCTATTTTTTGACTACTAAGAATAATGCTGCTAGGAATGTGCATGTACAAGTTTCTGTGTGGACATACGTTTTCAATTTTCTTGGAATGGAATTTCTGGGCATTATGATAACTCTGTTTAATTTTTTGAATAACTGCTACGCTGTTTTCCATAGTTTCTATAGTATTATTCATTCCCATCAGGAATGTATAAGATCCTATTTCTTCATATTGTCATCAGCACTGGTTATAGTTCATCTTTTTTTAAATACAATCATCCTACGTGTATGAAATGGTATCTTGTACATTGGAATTGCAGTTCTCCAATGACTCAGAATGTAAAGTATCTTTGTAAGTGCTTTTTAGCTATTTGTGTATCTCCTTTAGAGAAATGTCTTCAAGTTCTTTGCCCATTTTTATAGGGCAATTCGTCTTTTTATTGTTGAATTGTAAAGCGCCAACTTTTATCAGTTACACAACATGCAAATTTTTTTTTCCATTCTGTAGGTCATCTTTCCCCTTTATTGATAGTATCCTTTGTTGCACAGAGGTTTATAATTTTCATGAAGTCAAATTTATTTATTTATTTTTGTTTTGCTTCTTTGTGTCATAGGTATCATGTTGAAGAAATTATTGTCTATTTGATGGTCACAAAAACTTATCCCTATGTTTTCTTCTGATAATTTTATAATTTTAACTCTTACATTTATGTTTTTGATACATTTTGAGTTAATATTTATAAATGATGTAAGGTAAGGGTGTAACTTCATCCTTTTACAGCTGGCTATTAGTTGTCCCAGCACAATTTGTAGGAAAAATTATTCTTTTCTCATTGAATTATCTTGGCATCCTTGTCAAAAGCCAGCTGACCATAAATGTATTGATTTATTTCTGAACTCTCAATTTTATTTCCTTGCTATATATGCATCTCCTTATGCCATTATCACATAACTGCGAACTTATGTCATTATCACATGGTCTTGATTGTAATTTATAGTAACATGTGAAGTCAGGAAGTATAAGTGAACCAACTTTGTTCCTCTGTCTCAAGGTTATTGGGCTACTCTGAGTTTCTGAAATTTCCATATAAATTTTAGGATCTGCTTGTCAAGTTCTCTGTCTAGCTCTTGTCAAAATCAGCTGCAATTTTGTTAGAACAATTAATCTTCATCAATGTAGGAAATAGTGACATCTAAATAATATTACCTTCTAATCCACGAATATGAGTTATCTTTCCAGTTAGTAGCTCTTATTTAATCTCTTTCAAGTATGTTTTGGTTAGTTTCCAGTGCACAAATCTTTCATTTATTCAGTTGATTTCTAAATGTTTTATTATTTTTAAGCTTCTATAAATGGAGTTGTTAATTTCCCTTCACACATAGCTAGTATATAGAAATGGAATTGATTTTTGTATATTGAGTATGTCTATTAGAGCTATTTTTTTCTGTGTGGATAACTCAAGATTTTCTTCATACAGCATCATGTCATCTGCAAATAGAAGCCCATTAACATCTTTCTTTAAATCTATAGGCATTTTACTCATTTTCCTTGCCCAATTTCCCATGCTAGAAGTTCTAGGACAATGTTGAATACAAGTGGCAAAAACAGATGTTCAGGTCTTGGTCATTTGTTTGTAGGCAAATGTTCACTTTTTTACAAGTTAGTATGTTAACTATAGATTTTTTATAAATTCTCTTTATCAGATTTAGGAAGAACTCTCTTCTAGTCCTGTACCGTGTACCATGAAAATGTGTTGGATTTTTTTAAAATGCTTTTTCTGCATTTTCTGAGAAGATCATGTATCTGTTTTTTCTATTATTCTATGAGTATGGTGTATTACGAAGATTGCTTTTCATAGGTTAAAAGAACCTTGCATTCCAGGAATGAATTTTACTAGGTTATGGTATATAATCCTTATTATGTGATGCTACAATTACTTTGTTAGTGTTTTGTTGAAGATCTTTACATACACATTCATAAAAAACACTGGTCTGTAGTTTTCTGTTTTGTGTGATGTCTTTGCCCAGATTTCAGATCAGTGGCTTAATAAGATGAACTAAAGAGTGCTCCTTTCCCTTCTATCTTTTGGAAGAGTTTTGGTAGGGCTGGTGCTAATTCTTCTTTAATCATTTGGTCCTGGACTTTTCTAGTGTGAAGTTTTTTTTATTACAAATTCAGTCTCTTTGCTTGTGATAAGTCTATTCAGATTCTCTCTCCTCTTCAGAGTTTGCTGTTGTTGCTGTTTGTTTGTTTGGTAAATTTTCTGAACTAATTGTATAGCCTGCATTCTTTGTCATATGTGGTCATTGAAGTCTCTGCTCATTTTGTTTAATTGTCAGCTAATGACAGGACAGTGATTCTTTAAATACCTGAACCAATAATCTCCCAGCCTTTGCCAAGAGGCTTTATATGTGCGTTGGGAGGGAGAGCACTTTCAACACTCAGCCAGACAGTTGACAGCTCTTCCTTAATTTTAACTGTCTGCGTATAGAGAGTCTTAAAGTCAACTGGCAGTGAGACTGCAGGCCCTCTTCAGGTGCTTCCTGGCCACACAGACAACCCTGGACATGGGTTCAATTTGAAGAATGTCCCTGGCCTTCTAGAGATCTATGAATATATTGGAATTTTTCAAGGCCCTGATGGACAACTTATTCCCCATCTTTTCTTTTTAAGGTTTTTGGCTAGCCAACCATTGCTCCAATTGTTATTCCCCACCCTGAAAATACAAAGTAAAACAATGTCTTCTAATTGTATGCAAGAAATACTCTTGGACTTTTAATATTTTTGATAAGTCAGGTCAAATAAAGACAACCTTGCAAGCAGGGTCTTCTAGAAAGCCAGTAAACAATTCAAATAATAATTCTCTGGAAATGACGCTTTGAATGATGCCCAAGCCTGTTTGCTTCTTCCAGTGACTGCCAGGCTACGGGTTTTTGCCATGACTGCAGGGCTAATGATTCTCAAAGCTCCCTTCCATAAAGGTAGAAAGGAAAGAATGGCCTAGGGCATTTTAAAGTGCCACAGAGATTGCTGTTACCAAGGTTTAGATATGTTTCTTGAATAAAAACCTCCTACATTGCTGCAATTCTTTGGCTAATTTTCAGAGTTCTGAAAAAGTTGAGCTGATAACTTTGTCCATTTTCTCATGGCTTTTATGGGAGAGGGAATTTTTGGATGTCCCTCCTCTGCCTTGAGGTTACCTCTCAGGGTGGGTTCTTCTCCTCATTTTGGGTCTCATTTCTCCAGCTTCTTCAGACTCCTGTAAAAACTTTATTGCATGTCAGACATCATAAATTTTACCTTTCTGGTTACGGGATGATTATTATTCCAATATACATATTTTTAACTTTGTTCTAGGTTGAATTTATTTAGTTTGGAAGCAGTTTTATCCTTGCTTGCTATGCTCTTAAGATTTGTGAAGTGGGACCAGCATATTATCTATTTTAGGGTTAGTTTTCCTCTCTATTGCAGTGAGACCCTTTTGAGTGTGATACCCAGTACCCCCCATACGAAAGGGTTTTGAATTGGGTGGAGAAAATGGGGCACTATGCTTGGGTCTAGTGTGAGTACTGAACAAAGTAACTGCTAAACGTTTCAGCTGGTTCATCACCTGGCTTCTCTTGGTATCCTCCTGTGTATCTCCAACTGGTTAGAACTCTGCTATCTCCCTTTGATTGTGACAAGGCCCAGAAAATCTTTCACAGCAATAGGCTAGAAAAATGATAGGGTCACTTTTTTTGTTTCCCGTGCCTTATCATTATTGTTTATTTTTTGATGTTGAGTGTCTTAAAAAGCATTGTTTTATATGTTTTGTCCAGAAGCTTTGGTTCTTTCACGTTAGAAGGTAAATCTATTCAGATCTATTCATTGTTATTTCACATTTGCCAGAAGCAGATGTTTGCCCATTTGGGGCCTGAGGCTTTAATTTATATCTAAATCACTTACCTATTTTAATCAAATGGCATTAGACTTCACATTATGTTCTTTAAGATAAGTGTATGCTAATTTATACATGGTTACTAGTAACTTACGGCTAAACAGTGTCCTTTATTTCAGATAAGAACCCCTAATATGTTTCATTTCTCCACAGTTGGGCCTATTAGAAAATGTAGTTTCGGTGGTGCCTGTGGCTCAATGAGTAGGGTGCCAGACCCATATACCAAGGGTGGCGGGTTCAAACCCAGCCCCGCCAAACTGAAAAAAAAAAAAAAAAAAAAAAAAAAAAAAAAAAAGAAAATGTAGTTTCATTTGATTAAGATATCCTTAGTAGTATAATGGAAAAAACATATACATACACTACAGATAGAAGATCTAGCCAGAATCTGCGTCCTTTACATTTACTGGTACAACTCTGGGAAAGATGCCTGATGTCTTTGAACCTTTGTTTACTCATCTGTAAATGAGGCTACTTAAATTTGTTGTGTAGCTGACAAATTAAGAATCTGACAAATATTAAACCCTGGCTAAATGTAAGGACATCATCTTTTCTCCTTGTAATTATGTAATCTTCAGTGTGCAGGTAACTGTGGATTTAGTTATCGACAAAGGATTACATATTGCATTGAGATCCGTCCTACTAAGAAACAGAAGCCCCATCAGCTTTGGCCGATAGACTACCGAGAATGTCCCGTGATGCCTTTCTCTCAGGTTCACAAATGCAGCTTTAGGAGCTGTTGGCATGTGGCCACTTGGAAAGTTGGAAAATGGAGCAAGGTTGGTGTATAATTATGAATTTAAACCCTTATGAATAAGACTTTCTAGAGGTAGGATGCCTGGTGATCTATCTAACTAGATCTTTAAAGGTATCTCATATCCCTATGATCTGGAAACCACTTTAACAGTTATTTGCATATGTATCTTATATCTGTTTCCACGCTTACTATAACTTGGTGAAAGCAGAGACCATAACTAATACTTATTTCTATTCCTCAGAGAACCTTGAGTAATGGCTTGCACTTTGAGTCAGTGCTTAAGAAATATTTATTGGTTAAGTAAAGAAGTAAACAAATCTAACATCTGAGTAATAAAAGTTACTTATATCCTATTCCTAATTTCACAGATTAAAAAAACAAGTAAATATTACTTTGAAAACTTAGCATATAACTTAATGAGAAAAAACCTCCAGTAGTCTTGATAACTATCATTGATTAATGTTTAGTATGTATTTACAAGGTACTGTTCCTGCTACTGCACAGAATAAAGAAAAAGGAAGCCAGGAACTGAGTTAGAATGGATTCAGGCTCTTTCCACCTGCGACTCTCTAGCCTCCATCATATTTTTGCATCATCAGTGGTTCCAGCCGCTATTGATCCTTAATTTGTTCCAAGAGGACTTAGTCTGAGAGAAGGAGGCTTGGATTCCCTGGGCTGTGATTTCTCCTATAGTTCACCTTCCCATTTGACTCTGTTCACAGTGCTCAGTGACTTGTGGAATCGGGATAATGGAGAGACCAGTGGAATGTTTGGCTGAAAATGGCCGGTCCAGTGACTTATGTTTAAAGCGATTAAAACCAGACGCTCAAAAGAAATGTTATGTCAATGATTGTAAGTAATAGGCTTCAAAAATCTACTTAGTACCTAAGTTTTCCAAGAAGATTTAGTTAAAATGTGACAATAAATATTTGTAGTAGACACACACTCCACAAAAGGAGTGTCAGATTTTCAGTGTATCCATTCTGTGATTCAGTTCATGCTGTGCCTGCGATTTCTTTTGTGTTGATAAATTCTGTTAACTTGTCTTTGAAGGTAAATCATTTACCACCTGCAAAGAAATTCAAGTGAAAAACAACATCACGAAGGATGGTGATTATTACCTTAACATTAAAGGAAGATTAATAAAGGTATTATGAAGACAGTTCCTATTTGATTTTAACATTGACCACTGACTTTGGAAAAAGCTTTTCTAGATGTTTGCATTTTCCCTTCAGATCCATTGTGCAGGCATGCACTTGGAGAACCCCACGGAATATTTACCACTGGTCAAAGGTGAAGACAACTTTTCTGAAGTGTATGGCATTAGGTATGAGCTGTGTTTTGGCTTATGTGTGCATGTTCATGGTCCTTCAAAAAACTGGAGGACCATGAATTAGAGAATTAGAGAATTAGAAGTTCTAGTCTTCAGGGTGCTATTGGAATAACTGGCATGTGGGAATAAATAATTTAGAAGCAGGTGCATGCATTGTGCCGTAAGCTAGATACTATCCATGTCTGTTCATTAATAAAGACTGGAGGCTGGATGTAGCACCTCATGCCTGTATTTCTAGCATTTTAGGAGCCAAGGTGAGGGGATTTTTTAAGGCCAGGAGTTTGAAGACCAGTAGGCAAAATGGTGGGAAAAAAAAATATCTGAATGTGCTGGTGTCATGTATATGCCCAGCTACTCAGGAGGCTAAAGCAGGAGGACAGCTAGAACCCAGGAGTTCAAGGTTACAATGAGCTGTGATGGCGCCATTGTGCTCCAGCATGCATGACAAAATGACCCTCTGTGTCTAACTAAATAAATATATAAACAAACACAATAAAGTCTTGAAAGTTAACGTGTACTCATATAGAGACTGACTAAGAATTCTGGGGATGAACAGTGGGATACAGAGAAAGCAAGAATTTAAGACCTACATGGAATTTCATAGAAATCAAACTAATTCCATTACCAAAAGCTAGGAAAATGGCAGCTCAATTATTTTTCTACAAACTGTTCTTAAATTTCCCACTGAGAATTTCATACGTTAGCCTGCAGGACTTTTTACTTCTTTTCCATTTAACTTGTTGACACTATAACATTGAAGAGCAGGAATGTGTCTTTATCTTCTCACTTCCAAAGTTTACTATCCGTCTGCATTATGTGGCTAACTACATCTAAAGCTGAAAATACGGCAATGTTGTTACAGGCTACGGAATCCATACGAATGTCCTTTTAATGGAAGTAGGAGGCAAGACTGTGAATGTAAAAATGATTACATGGCTGCTGGATACACAGTTTTCAGCAAAATAAGAGTTGATCTCACTTCCATGCAAATTAAAAGTAAGTGCTAAATCTCTGCTTTCACCACAAAAAGCCTACATGTGCTAATGGAAGTCTCACAACATGTCAATATATGTGATAGCCAAAGTATAGACAAAGGCCTTGTGCAAAAATTAGCAAAAAAATTTTTTAAAGTTATTTACTGCACACTTTTTCTGCAATGGCCTGTGCCAGGAAGATCCTTAATGAAACAATGATGAGGTACTGCCTTTCCAAGACAAAACTCTGTACCTTAAACCCCCAGCTACATCAAAGGTAACGAGCTAATATCCTCAGTGTATAGTATAATAACTTGTAGGAGCTTTTTACAGGGTTCAAAGCAATAATTTACCAAATATTTTCCCATGCATTATGGCAGGTGATCATTTTAACAAGCCTGTGTTAGTTAAGGCAGGTATGTCACAAAGTTACAAATCATGAAATTAAGTGGGAGTCAAATGACTGTCTCAGTTCATCCAGCTGGTAACCAACGTCAGGGGGGAACCCCAACGTCCTATTCACAGATGCCAGATTATAGATCATACTGCATATCTGGGAAGTCATTTATAATGTAGCCAAGTCTGAACATATTAATGGGACTTAATATACATTGGGCATAATGCAGCCTGCCACCCTGAAAGTTACTATCTCCATAAAGAGGCAAAGAAGTTCATTTCCGAAGAAGAGACTCCATCCCAACTGCCATTAAGGCTTCAGTGCCTTCACCCTAGAAAAACAATTTGGTGAGACAACATATACCTGAATACATACTAATCTTACACATACCCTTAGTGCTGCCATGTAATCCTACTATATTTCCCTTGTCTATTCTCTCTCCCACTTACTTAAACATCTAACTCATATCTTCTCTTCTGGCTCCAAATTTCAGAATTTTTAACACCTCTACTCCACTCTGCTGATGACTGTTCTATCTCACTGAGGCAATAGAACCAGAGGGAATTCCTTCAGTTCCCACTGCTACCTCTCCCAACCTGCCGAAATCTTTACCTACATCCTTCTCTCCAAAGCACTGTGGATGAACTCTTGATGCTCCCAGCCAAGGCAACCCCCTCCACCTGTGCTCTAAGTTCATTGTTTTAGCACGTTTCCCTTTCTCTCTTCTTACAGCCTCAGTTCTTCCTCTCTGCTGGATCGTTTACATTTTGTGAGAGAAACACGTTCTTTTTTCTCTCATCATATCTTCTTGACTTTCTTCCCCTCCAGCCACTGTTTTAATTTTTTGTGTTCCTTTATAGTAAAATATCCTAAATGAGTTGTTATTCTCACTCTCTAATTTCTCTCCCCATGTGCTTTCCTGAGCTAGATCTAATAGATCTCTTGTTCATACCTCTCCCAGGAAATAGTCCTTATCAGAATCACCAGTGACTTCTGTTCTCTTAAATCCAGTGATAAATTCTTGGTTTTCATCCTACACCCTCACCAGCAGCACTTGGCTTTCAGGACTTCACTTTCTGTGGTTGGCACCTTCCTTGGCCATCCTTCTCCTGTCCTTCCTGCCGCTCCTCATCTTGGCTCCTTACTCTTCATCTCCCACAACACTGCATGCCGAGGAGCTTAACTTCCCAGTCATTCCCTTGGGAATCTCATTCAATTTGTAGATTTCAAATACCACCTGTTAAAGGGCAGACCCAAGCTCATATTTCCAACTTGGATTTCTACCCTAAACTTCAAGAATCCAACTGTCTGCTCAACATATGCATGGGACTGTCCAATAGGATAATTTGGCATATCCAAAAGTGAATTTTCAGTATTTCCTGCCAAACCATCTCCCTTCCCCCCAATTTTTACCATTACAGTAAATGGCAACTGTAATCCTCTAGCTAGTTTAGCAAAAATCTACCTTCCTTCTGTACCCACAAGCAATCTGCCATCAAAGTCTGCCAGGTGAGTCTTCACCTGCTATGGCCTGAATCGTGCCTCCCACCCACCACCAGAATGCACATGGTGAAGCCCAGACCCTCAATGTGATGGCATTTGGAAGTGAGGCTGTGGTATGTAATTGGGTTTATAAAAGCGAGGCCCTCGTAATGGGATGAGTGCCCTTATCAGAAGAGAAGGAGAGGGGAAAGCTCTTTCTCCCAGGAGAAGGCACGGCAGGAAGGCAGCCATTGCCCGTTCGGAAGGGAGCCCTCACCAGAAGCCGACCATGCTGGCTTCCTGGCTTCCAGCTTCCAGAACCATGAGAGATGGATTTTGTTGAGTCAGATACCCAGTCTATGGCATTTTATTATGGCAGCCCAGGCTGTGCAAGACATATACCAGATTTCACTTTCCACTACCTCATTTGATTTCATTTGCTCCCACCTGGTCCAGGTCTGCATCATTTTTTATAGGAATCATGCTGCCTGTGGACTGGATCATTTTTTGTAGGGATATGCTGCCTGCAGACGGTGTTCCTACTTCAGTGCTGCACCTCTCGTCCCCCTGTGGACCAAGGTTCTCTTCTCAACAGATAAGCCAGAGTGATTCCCTAGAACATAGTCCTGTCCTGTCTTATATTATATACATTATCCATCTGGTCTTTTTAACGACCTCAAAGTCTGCTCAAAACTCTCCAAACATTTCCCATTTAGCTCAGAGTAAAATCTTTGCCAGTCCACAGAACTCAACATGACACCCCTGTCTCCATTACCTTCCTACTTTCAGTCCCCTTGCCCCTCCTCCCCACCCTGTCTACTCTACCCCAGACACACTGCTGTCCTTGCTGTTCCTTGAACACACCAGGCGTGTTCCTGCCCTGAGCCCTGTGTACTTACTCTTCTATCTGCCTGGCACACCTTCATTTCTTTTGGGTCTCTGATGAGATTCATCTTCTCAATAAGGCCAGAAAGGACCATTCTCCATTCCTAAATTCTCTTTCTCCCCATCCTCTTCCCTGATCTATTTTCTTTTCACAGAAAATATCACTCCTAACATATAGTATAAGATTTACTGTATTACTTTTCTCTCTCGGGTAAGACTCAGGTTTCAGCAGCCTCTGTTTCATCCACTGTTTTTTTCACAGTATCTGCAACACTTCCCAGTGCACAGTAAATATCAGCTGTATTAAAAGCCTTCACTTTCCTTAAGACGCTCATAGGAACACCTGTCTTGAACAATCTTGAAGAGACATTTAAGGCAACTAAGGTAGGGGATAAGAGATTCAGAAGGAGGGAGAAGAATGATCAAAGTATGGAAGGGGGTATGCTGGAGAATGAGAACTATTCCAGTTTTGTCTAAACATAAATCAGATGGAGGTTCTGGGATGGATAGTAGCCAGTTACAGAAGTTCCCAAAGGCCTGATCATGATGAGAGGGTATACTAAGATAAACAGCTGAATTTTATCTTGCAATTCATAGGAGATAGTCGAGTAAAGACAGAACTGGTAAAGAAACAGACTTAGTTGGAGGGAGAACACATTATATTCATGAAGATGATTAGGAAGTTAATGTAAAAATTCAGATAGAAAATGTTGAGGGACTGAATTAGGGACATGAGTCAGGATCGGGACCTATCTGAGAAATATTAAAGTGGTCTACTCTATAGGATTTTATGACAGAAAGGGTGTGGAATTAGTGACATGGAATATTTAGAATGATTTCCAAAATAACCAGGTAGATGGTGGTGGCTCGTTGAGATGGGAAATACAGGAGGGTAATAAATTTGGAGAAAAAGATAATTTTAGTGCATTTGGCTCTGGACATATTAAGTCAGAGATATGGATCATAACAGGAGGTTGAAATATGTTCTGTAGCCCGTCAGAGTCAGGTAGACTAGACATGTACTTACAGGTCATCATTTATAGAACTGATGCCTTTGGTTGGTCACCATGCTTTTGGAGGAGGTAGTAGCAAAAGAAGCTTTGAAAGTTGCATCTCTGTGCTGACCCAGCCTGACCCCTAAGTGTCACACATAATCAGTGGTGTGCATGCGAACCTTTCACAGTCAGATATCCAGGAGGAGGAAAAGTCAGATGTGTAGTATTGGGCAATTTCCACGGTGTGTACACACATGGAATTCCTACCATGGCCAATTGTGTCCAGTCAACACGGCCTTCTCACACAAGGAACTGGGAAGGCATGCATGTGGTTGGCTCTCACTAGTTCTTACAAGCTGGTTCTGGAACACCACAATAAGCCTCCTGGTTTTAGAAAGTGTCCTTGGACACGTGATGGATATTTCTAGAAATGCTACATTTTGGGATTGCCTCCAGGGAACTGGTGTCATCACAGGGAATGCAGTGATCTTGCAGCTTGAAAAGTGAAGTGATTTGAAATAACACCAATGGAGGTGACAGCCACTGGGTGTATCATTTGGTTGGGTTATTATTTAAGCGATTCAAACATGATTAAGTGATTGAAGCAGCTGACTCTTAGGCTCCTGCCAACCAATGATAGATAGAGCCAATGCTTCTATTTTTGGTACTTTATCAAAATCTCCAGCACTATTGCCAATCAGGATATGCACATATTTTACCAGCAATGTTAGCAAAAGTAAGATTGAAAAGAATAGAAAGGATAATACAATGATATAAGAAATAAAGGAAATACCACCCTTTTTAGCACAGAGCTTTTGGATTGCCTGATGTGTTGATACACACATACACACGTGTTGTCAACAAGCACGTATAGACTTGATCTTGCTTTGTTACATCGATTTACCTTTAAATAATCTTATTTTTCCTTCAGCAACTTTGCTCCTAAACCTACTTCATCTATTTTAGGTATTCATTCTGATATAAAATATAATAAAGCATTTATTTAGTTTTAAATCCTCTATTTCAATTATAGATGAATAATAGATAGATGAATAATTGCTCTATAGATTAGAGCAATTTATGAGATGAACATGTTTGTATCAAAAAAATTATTTATTTGGAGCCTGTTCTAGGTTATGTACTATAATCAGGAAAATTTTGACTTAAATTTTTAAAATTAATTATCAACATATATATTAAAGAAAGTAATATGAGAACTGTGTTTGAACAGAAGAAGACGGCATTGCAGTCTCCATGATACAGCATTTCATTTATTATTTTCTAGCTACAGACCTTCTTTTTTCCCGGACAGTATTTGGAAAGGCTGTTCCATTTGCCACAGCTGGAGATTGCTACAGTGCTGCCAGATGCCCACAGGTATTTCATATTTGATTATTTTTTCCCCATCACTATGAAAAAAAAAACTGATAGTGCTTCATTCATCTTGTAATCAAAATATCACAAGAAACACAGTAAATAGAAATGCAACACTTCTCATATGCACTTTATTTCAAAAGTTATGAATACATTTTGCCAACTGAACTTGTTTGAAAGGTAGAATAAAAATTTTAAGTTGTTTAGATTCTATTTCTCCTTCCATGATAATATATCATTTTTCAATTGTGACTCAGTCCACGGCCATGAATGGACTTGGTTATTTAATAGTTGGGTGTTTAATTTCCACATGTTTGCGAATTTTCCAAATTTCTTTCTGTTTTTTATCTCTATTTTTATTCCACTGTTTGAAAGCATACTCCACAGTAGTCTTCAGTCTTTTTACTTATTGAGCTTGTTTTATGATATAGTATATAGTTTACTCTGGGGAATATTTGATACATGCTCAGGAGGTGTGGCCATCCATCCCCTTGTTGCTGGGGGGAGTGTTCCACAGGTCGCTTGTTGGTTTATAGCCGTCCAGCTCTTCCTTTTCCTGGTTGATCTTCTACTTAGCTGTTCAATCTCCTGAATGTCTGCCAGTATTATTTTTGAATTATCTATTTCTCACTTCAATCTTGTTTCATACACTTTGTTTAGTTTTGTTTATTGGGGGCTTTGTTGTACAGGAGTACATGTTTGTTTGTTTGTGTTTAAATCATAGCTGTGTATATTAATGCAATTACGGGGTACAATGTGCTGGTTTTATATACAATTTGAAATATTTTCGGCAAACTGGTTAACATGACCTTCATGGCATTTTCTTAGTTATTGTGTTAAGACATTTATATTCTACATTTAGAAAGATTCACATGTACCTTTGTAAGATGCACCATAGGTGTGGTCCCACCAGTCACCCTCCCTCCACCCATCTTCCCCCCCTTCCCCATATTCTTGGGCTGTAATTGGGCTATAGCTTTCATATGAAAGCTATAAATTAGTTTCATAGTAGGGCTGAATACATTGGATACTTTTTCTTCCATTCTTGAGATACTTTGCTAAGAAGAATATGTCGGAGTATATGTTTTTAAGTGTCATAATTTCCCAGTAGGTTGATATTTTTGTTATCAATTGCTCTTTATCCAAGAATATTTTTTGTTTTAAAGTCTAATTTATCTGATATTAACATAGCCACTCCGACTCTCTGAGTTGTTGTATATATTTTCATCTTTACTTTTATTTATCTTTGGATCTGGTGTTTTGCGTCTGCTATGCTCCTGTAGAGCATTTGAGCATTTTGTTAGATTGTTGCCTTTTGATGGGATTGTGTAGTTGTTGCTGTTACTGTGTTGTATTCACAGCCACTGTTTTTGTTTCCTCTATGTTTTGTTCTGTCTGTGTTCCACTGTTCTTCACGGCTTTCTTTTTTGCTCAGGGTATGTTGCCTAGTATAACATTTAAAAGTCCTAATGTTTTCATTCTATTTTTTGAATTGCTTCCTTAGCAATTATTCACGGACTTACTGTATATGTGTGTGTGTGTATACTATAGAGAGCATATGTGTATAATATTTCCTATTTACTATTTTTAATATTAAATATTTTTATATTTCTAGTAAAATATAGAAATTATATTCTTATATATGACCTATTTCATTCTTCTTTGTTGGTGCTATGTTCATTAAACATAAATGCAACAGAGCCACAATGTATTGTTATACTACTGCCTTGTATAGTTTTATGCCTTTTAGAGAATATGAGAAAAGAAATTAGAGCAACTATATATTCGTTGCGTTTTTAAAAATATAAACCTTTTTATTTAGTATTCTTGGTGGTCTTTTATTTCTTCCTGGGGATTGGACTTATTATCAGGAATCACTTTCTTACACCCAAACACCTTTTCTTCCATCTGCATTATTTGTGCCATGGTTGTCAAATATATTATAGGCCAATAATATAATTATCTACATCTTGGTTCATACAACTGTTTTTAAATCAGTTCAGAAGAAAGGTGAGGAAATATGCAATTATAGTGTCTTTTATAGTTACCAACATAATTGCCTTCACCAGTACTCTCTCTGATTGTTTTGTGTCAATTTGTATTATAGTAAATATAATACTTATTTCTTCATTGATATTCTCTATTTGATAAGACGCTTTTCTCACACATTCTTTTACATTTTTAGACATGATTTTCTTTAGTTTGAACATATTCGCATCAGCCTCATTAACGTCTTTGTCTGCTTAGTCTAACATCGGATCGCTCCCAAAGGCAGTTTTGGTTGCCTTTCCCCCCCATATGAGGAATCCTTCCAAGTTTCTTTTTATGTCTCTTAATTTTTTGTTGAAAACTGGACACTTTTGGTAATATATTTTAGCAAGTTTGGATACTAATTTTCCCCTCTCCTTTGGAACTTCTTGCTGTTATTGTTGTTTGCGTGCGTATTTTTATTTTAGTTTCTTGGCTGAACTGTTTCAGTGAATTCTAATTTTTCCCCTCAGAGGAAACAGCCGTGGGCAGGCAGAGTCACCCCCATGCTCCTCTTCCCCAGGAATGACAGTGGTCTCTGCTAGAAGAGGGATTCAGCTCCTTCTCCAGGACTCCCTGTTATGTTTCTCACTGGTTTGACTCTACTGATCCCATCATCGGCTCTTGGTCTCCACTACTTGCTAGATGATTGTTCTGGTCTTTGAAGGACATCCTGAGACATAAATTACTCCACAGTTGATTCAATTAAATCGAGCCCTCCCCCACCCCCAGCCTTGACTAGGTGTATAGGTCAGTCTTTGAGGTTAGGAAAGAATCCCAGAGGAGCCCTTCTTAGCTTGTTCCCTGGTTCTTTCTGTGAACCTTCAATATCATCTATTGCATTTCTTGTTGCTGTCCTTGAGCTACCACCCTCCTCTTTACTGCACACCACTAAAGTCTTGTTTTTAATAGCATCCGTAAGTTGGAACTTACCTACATTCTATTCCAAATAAGCTCCGTCCCATTAAGAAAAGCTATGGAGTTTTCAGGTTTCAACTTGTTTCTCTCCCTGGGAAGAACCTCTTCACCTATCCTGTGGATCTGGAGGCAGGGACGGTGGCCTATTACTCAGAACAACACCCCTACTCTACAAACAGGGCCCTGCATCGTGGCATTGGGCTTTGATCTTCTTGGATTTCACTTCTCAGCATGAAAGCTCTGCCCTACCAATGCTTTGGGGTAAGGATGATTCAGATTTAGTGGTTTGTGTCTGCTGTGCTTAGTTAAGATAGATCATCTGCTCTATGAGTAAGAACTGGGTAGAAGAAGGGAGCTTCAGCCTCTCGGCTCCTCTTGCTTCTTGTTATAAACCTTTTGAGATACAGAGCTGGGTAAGACATGAAAGGCTGGTGGCCTGCCCCTCCGAGGAGATGGTGGGAGAACGGAGTCCAAGGTTCTTAACTGCATTCACCATGACTACAAGTCCCATCTTACTGAGCTGTGAGAGAGAGAGGGCGGGCCGTGGATCTCACTCTTCGTACCTAGAGTTAGTAGATTTTCTCCAATAAATGTTTCTCTACTTGCTGCGTAACCTTATGACAATTATCAGAGATGTGTATTGTCAATTTTATAATTTTCACTAGTTGTGCTTGTTTCACTGGAGAAAGTGTCCAAGGGCTACTCACATTGCTGTTCTAAGAGTTTTTCTTCTCTTGGCTATCTTTTGTCAAAGCCGTTAACTCTATAAGGGAATTCTCTGTTCCCATTCAATCTTTGAGGCTAGTTAGCTCTATTCTTGCTTATCCTTCCTCTTCCCAGTGTCCTAGTTCATTCATATTGGTGATCAATAACTACCCTGTAGGTGGTGACTACATCCTGCATTGGATAAGACTCCCCTGCTGAAATTTCTCTTCTGAAGACTTGCGTTGTTTCTTCAATACCTGTTCTAACATCAAGGATGTGTGATCTAGAATTTTAATGGGATGATCAACTGGAAGCCTGTGTATCACATTCTGATTTTTTTTTTTTTGAGACAAAGCCTCAAGCTGTCCCTCTGGGTAGAGTGCCATAGCATCACAGCTCACAGAAACCTCCAACTCCTGGGCTCAAGCGAGTCTCCTGCCTCAGCCTCCCAAGTAGCTGGGACCATAGGCGCCCACAGGCGCCCACCACAACGCCCGGCCATTTTTTGGTTGCAGCCATTATTGTTGTTTGGCGGGCCCAGGCTGGATTCAAACCCGCCACCTTAGGTGTATGTGGCTGGTGCGTTAGCCACTTGAGCCACAGGTGCCGAGCCCACATCCTGATTTTTTAAGGACATTTTTTTGCTTATCTTTGATGTCCGACACTGTGAAAAGTATGCATAGACTTTTTTTTCTTTGCTAGCCAGCTTCCATTTGTGTTTAGGTATCTAATGCATGGCCCAAGGCAACTCTTATTCTTTCAATGTGCAGCAGAGAAAAAAAAGGTTAGACACCAATCTTTTCCCTGGTAAATGGAGATCTTTTGTTGATGACACTTCACTTCTACCCCTTTAAATGGAAATTATTCATTCTCCAATGGCCAACCCATCTCAGGACGGGTCAGCTTTGTCCAAGAACCCATCCTCTTTTTAAGTTATGCCACCTGGTCATATATATGATGTGATTAGAGAGAAATAAATTATTAGTGCAACTTAACAGTGTGAACAGTCTTGCTAATACAAGTCCCAGTCCTCACGGAAGTCATTACATTGAGAACTTCACCAAATTCTGGAAATCTGCTCCTTGTCATTATGTATTAAATTGAGTAAATTCTGGCCAGTGAGAGAACAACATACTTCATAGCAGACTGATGTACAAGTAAAACATATAACTGTCACATGGAACCAAAATGCCTTGTATTTTATTTATAAACTCTCCTCATAGGAAAAATCATAACAGCAAGCCCATTATTATAGAAGAAATTTTTTGATGGGTATGGAATCTGAATAAGAGGTATTTACAGAATCAGATTTTTAAATAAGATAGTTTTTTTTTCCATTTCTTTCTAACTCC